CTTGGGGACACTTCCTCCACTGGTTGAGGAAGTGCACCTCCCAACTCCTATGGACAGAAACAAATCCACTTAGGCAGCAGCTTGGGGACATGGCCGAGGCCATCCAGGGCCTGCTTCCTCCATTGGCTTCGGGGAGATAAGAGTGACTGTCAGGGGACCAGGGTCTGCTTCCCCTCTTCAGGGGCTGTGGCCAGTACCCCCCCCATTACTCCCCGAGAAGAGGAAAGCTCAGGGGAGAGGTGACTCCCATGGAGGGGAACGGGTCAGGACAGTGGCAGTTGGCTGGCAGTGGTTGCTACCTCCCCCACTCCAGCCCTGTCACCTTATTCTGGAGGCTGTAGCCCCCAGTGCTTGGACTCCAGAGCCGTCCTGGGAGGGGACAGGGGTGGGGAGAGAGAACGGGAAGATAAGCATGGCCTGTTCCCCATCTTCACGGCTCACAAACACCCCAGGCCATTCCAGCTGACCCCCTCCCCCCCGTTTAAAAATGTCCCCTCCAAGTCCGCATGCCCCGCTGTCCTGTGTGTATCCCTAACAGCACAGTCCATGGTGTAGCTCTGGGGAAGGGAGCCCTTGCAGCCCTCACCTGACTGAAGCTCTCTGCTGCCCATGGTGCCAACTCCACTCCCTGTGTCTCCTCCTGTCCCCTTGTCCAGGCCTGGCCTTGACTCACAGCCCTCAGCTTCCCATTTTCATCCTCCCTCCCCAGCATCTCCAGGTGCATAGGTGACCCTGGGACAGAGCAGGAACTCACTAGAATCCCCATTCCTAATCATCTTGATCTTTAGAAAAGGCAAAATTAAGATTTGATGAGTATTTGCTATATAGATTAACAGTAGTACATGAACAAAATTTATATATATATATATATATATATGCATATGTATGAGATGTGCTCAGAATATGCTAATGAGGTGATGAACAGTCAAAAGAGCTTGACGACTAGTACCTGGCGTCACCCTCTGGTCCCATGGCCCCAGCTGCAGGGCCCCTGGTACATGCCCTCGCACTCTTTTTTGAGGAGGAGGGAGCAATGCTGAGGCTTGAGCTCAGGATCGTGTGCTCGTTAGAAGGGCACTCTACCACTTGAATAACACAACACCCCCAGCCCTTTAGTTATTTTTTGGATAGAGTCTCAGGTTTTTGCCCAAGACCAGCCTCAGCCTGATCCTCCTACCTACGCTTTCCATGTAGCTGGGATTACAGGCATCATGCCTGGTTTCTTTGTTAAGATAGGGTCTCACTAACTTTTTGCCTGGGCTGGCCTTGAACTTTGATCCTTGTGATCTCTGCCTCCCTAGTACTGAAAGTACAGGCATGCACCACCACCCACAGTCTCTTGCACACCTCTGTACTTACTGCTACCTCTGCATATCAGGGTGAAGGTAGCTGTGACTAATGGCACATCTAAACATGAGCTTAAGGGAGCTACATGCTTGCCGGTGTCTCATGTACACCAAGCCTAGAGGTGAGCAGCCCAGGGATGATATGGCAGCTCCCAAATCACCAGAGACCTGGGTTCTTTGGATGTATTGCTCTGCCCGTTTTAACCTATGGTTTCCAGTTCATGATACAAAATAGCTGCTTGAGTTCCAGCCATAATATCAGCATTCCAACCAATCAGAAGGGCAGGGTAAAGAGAGACAAGCATCCCCCCTCACTTTAAGGATACTTCTAATTATCAGAGATAAAGAATATTTATTAATGACAAAGGAGTGGATCCACCAGAATGATGTCACACCTCCAAATCTGTATGCCCTCCATCAAATAGTTGCAAAGGATATGAAGTATATGAAGTGTGTCTCTTTTAATTAGCAGAATTAAAAGAGGGGCCACGAGTTCATAGGCATACTGAGAGTCTATCATGTACCTTTTTCAATAACCAGTAGAGCAAGCAGACAAAACCAGAAAAGATATGGAAGATTCTTAAAAAATTGAATAAACAAGTTCGATCTAATGACACCTAAGAATTCTGCAGTCACAGACCAGACATGATAGCACACACCTATAATCACAGCTACATGGGAGGAGGATGCCAAGACCCTACCTAAAAAATAACTAAATCTAAAGGGACTGGGGCATAGCTCAAGTGGTAGAGCACTTGCCTAGCAAGATTGAAGCCCTGAGTTCAAATCCCAGTACCACCAAAAAAAAGAATTCTGTACCTGCAGTGACAGGATATACATCATTTCCAAATGCCCATGGTCCATACGCCCCAAAAGTGTCAGTTTTGAGAACGTGTATGGACCCCTTCTGCTTCCATACCCCATGCCTGCCAGCAGTGAATCCTGGCAATGTCTAGCAGAAAGGGAGGCTGGGAAGTGTCATCTGCTCCAAGTAGCCAGGTACAGTCAACTAGAGCTGAGAGCTAATGTTCCTAAAGAAGAAACCAGTGCTGGGGAGGCTGCAGCCTCTGGGCCTCCCCCTCCTCGTCCCCTGACAGATCTGCTACAAGGGTGCTGCACAGTGAGTGAAAGCTCAAGCCCAGAGGCAAAGGCTCCTTATTTGGTTATGCTGCACAGAGAGGTTACATAACTTGCCTAGGTCACACAGCTGGTAAATAGCAGGCATCTGGCTCCAAGCCAAATGGGGCTGCTGCCACCCCCAGCACAGGACACCACCATGGTGGGGGTGATATAAAGGATAGCTACGTGACTTTAGAGAAGTTATTTAAATATGTTGGTTGGGTGTAGTGGTACATACCTGTAATCCTGGCACTTGGAAGGCAGAGGCAGGAGGATTGTGAGTTTGAAGCCAGCCTGGGCTACCTAGGAAGACACTGGCTTGAAAAGTCAAAAAAAAAAAAAGTTAATTTCTTCACCCTTCTGCAAAAGGTTGTATTGAGCACAATCACGTCCTCTGACTGACGCTCTGTGGTTCTCCCCTCTCTGCCAATAATGGCTAAGATTCACCACTGGAAATGTGTCTTTTTTTTGTTAAACCTTGTGTTACTTAATTTTCTTGTTGCTGTGACAAAACACCTGACAGCAAGCCGAGGGAAGGAGGTTGACTTTGGTTCACGGTCTCAGAGGGCTCAGACCACGGTCACTTGGCTCCGTCGATTCTCGGCCCATGGTGAGGCAGAACGTAACAGCAGCAGAATTGCGTGGCAGAAGCCGGTCACCTGTGGCAGCCAGGAAGCAGAGAGCAAGGAAGGACCAGGGATCTGAAAGCCATGCCCCCAGTGACCACTTCCTCTATCTAGGCCCCCTGTCCTAAAGTTTCCAGAGCCTCCCACCTAGTGCCACCAGCTGGGGACAAGTATTGAACGCATGAGCCTGTGGAGGACATATCAGATTCAAACCATAAGAAATTTTTTTCTGTCTTCTGCCTGAAGTCCCTTTTAAAAATGCAGTTTGTCTTCACGGGGTCCTGACCCTTGGACAAAATGAGTTTCTCAGGCCCCTTTTCTGTGGGTCCAGAGAAGGTTGTGTTGGAGAGTCTGTTGGGCCCTGGCTTGGAGTAGAGGGACTTATGAAGGGAGAAGACCACAGAGAGGAAGGTCAGGCCCCACCAGGTCCATCAGGTGACAAAGGGCCCAAGGAGCCCAGAGGGTCCTGACACTGTCTCTCATCAGGGCCAACTGCAGAGTGACCAAGGGACGGCTCCCTGGTCAGTCACCAGTGCCCCCATCCATCACTGTTTCCACAAATTTCCTTTCTCTCTCTCCTGTGTTTCTTCCACTGCCCTTCCTTTCCAACTAAATGAGAGAAAAATGGGTTTTGTCGGGTTTTTTTAACAAGTAGACGAAAAGTCTTAAATTACCTTCTTCTTCAAGGTCTGCAAATAGAAATCCCAGAGAAGACAGCCACCTTTTCTTTGCTCCCTCTCCCTTTCTGTCTCCAGGAGCCCATGAGCTTGAAATAAAAGGCAGAACGCTGGCTCATGAGGAAGTACCTAACTTGACCTTGGCCCAGCACCCAGCAAGGAGGAGCGCAGGTTGAGTGGAGATCCGGCTGGGAGTGATGGAGGGAGAGGTAGAAGTGGGGAAAACAATACTTATTGCTGAGATTAAGAGATTCTCTGAGTAGGGATGAGTTTTGAAAGAGCTGCTACTCTGTGGACATGGGTGTGCAGGGCCCAGAGTGCACATGGATCAAGGGGACAAAGAAACCACAGACTCGGCCCACTGAGGCCCAAAAGGAAAACAGAACCAGTGTGCAATGGGCCTCCCCTACCTCTGCCACCGCAGCCGATGTCACAGTTCTTAGGTGGTCCATCAGGGCGAGAGAGAAACACGGTGTTGGGGCAGAGGCTGGGCACTTTGAGACTGGAATCTGGGGTTCTTGGCTCTGTGATGTGGAATGATGACATTTACGGAGCACTTTCTGTAGGCCAAGGCCTGGCCGAGCCCTTCACAGTTAGCTCATTTGATCTTCCAAACAACCCTCTGGAGTTATTATCCACACTGACAGATAACTCTGTGGGGTGGGAGGCTGTGCACTTACTAAGTGTCACACATTTTGTGACAGATTGGGGTTTGAACCCAAGAATCAGACTTCAGCGTCTCTTGTATTTTTTCCTACCAAGCCCTGGGCCCATTTCCTCCTCTGGAAAATTAAGGTTCGGGGTAGGGGTGGGGCAAGGGCTATGGCCTGAGGGATCATCAAGGTCCTTTACAGCACGGATGCTCTGGTTAGGGGGCCTGTGCCTCAGCTGTGTGCACAGGTCCTGCACAAATGCTGAATGGTGCAGCTTCCCAATGCAGAGCTGAGTGTGTGTGCATGTGTGTAAGGCAGGTAAACATGTGCCCTGCAACCCTGGTGAGACAGGAAGAGAATAAGAACACAAGACCAGCATAAAGTCTTAGAGGACCTGTAGGATAGACCTATGTCATGAGGACACAGCCGAGGTCTAGAAAATTCCACCCAGATTGGGTGCTGCATACCCTTTACCCACCTGGCCACATGAGCCATCAAGGCCTTTGCAGGGGACTTTGCTGACAGGGTGACATTGCTCCCCGTGGCTTCTCCCACCCAGCGTGTGTGTGTCCTTCACAGATCCAGTGTGCCATTACAAGATGGAGCAGGACGACTGGCTGACTGTCTACCTGAGGTACCTGCTCTTCGTCTTCACTTTCTTCTTCTGGGTAAGTAAGCCACATGCACATCCCCTCCCGAGCACAAATGACCCAGGCCACCTCTGTTTCTGTGAGTCACCACTCTGAGGGGGATTTCTACCCAATCCAAGAGCCCCCCTTGGGCCTGTTTTGCCTGCTTCAAAACAAGTGTGTACATTTGCTTCTGAGGGGGAGGAAAAGAATCCAATGTGCAGGTATACACTATGTGCCAGCCCCCTGCACAAAGGGCCCAATCTGCCTTCCCTGTCACTTGTCCTGTGGTGCCCATGAGAAACATGACTGCTAGAACAATGTTCTGTCTGCACAGAAGCTCACTGGCCTTTCCTGATTCACAGTCTCCAGGCCAGAGCAGAAAGACTGAGATAGGAGACCCAAGGCAACCACTGCTGTGATGGAAATGGTCTGGTCTCTCTGGTGGCATCTCAGGAAGCCTGCCTGGCTGAAATTTTCCAAAATAGTGTGACATCTGTCCACCAGACACAATCATCTGGGTAACTGGGAGCAGAATACCACAGATCTCCCCCAAATGGCCTAACTCTGGAATGTGTGGGTTTTGCATTGCCATCTCAAGAAATTTGGGGGCGGGAGGATGGCAAGAAAGCACCTGGCTGGACTGAGGACCTGCCTGTTGCTGATGGTGTAGCCTGGGGCAATGCTCCCCCAGCTACAGTTAGGAGTCACTTCTAACCACTTGGGATTACACATTGAATTTAGTGGACATACCACCAAGGCAACCTCTGCTAAGGCAGTAAGAGACAGTGAAAGACAATACTCCCCACCCCCCAGCAGGGTGTCAGAAGGCAAGTGTCCCAGTGGGGTCCAGCCCGGGGTCTTCAGGCTCTTTTCTGTCCAGGCTGGGTTCAGATTGGGAAGGATGGTGTTGGAGTCATGTATATGGGTTTTAAAGTGTTTTGGAGCATAGACATCCATTAGGTGCTATCTGTTAAAAAGTTTAGCAATCTCATGTTTGTTTAAGTATGTTTTTACAAAGATCCTGAAACAAATGATAAAATGATTCGCCACTTTTATCTTCCTGGCCAAGAGTTTCCTGGAATAGGGAGGCCTGATGGGGGGGACAATGGGAAATAAAGCCATGTGGCTGAGCACTGGAAACTGTGAGTCTAGAGTCTCAGAGAAGTACCCAATAGGGTTTCGGGAGTCTTACTAGGTAGGCATTTCTTTTTAAGATTAACTGTGTTTTTCCTGATCATAAAAATCTTGTGTACTCACTACAAATAATCTTCAAAATTAAAAAAAAAAGTATAAGAAAATAAAAAACTACCTTTATCTCACCATGTTGGTTCCCTGGGGCTGCTGTGACAAAATACCACAAACAGGGTAGTATTAAATAGCAGAAATCTTTTCTCTCATAGTTCTGGAAGTCCAAAATCCAGCTGTCAGCAGGGCCACACTCCCTCCCTTGCGTCTTCCAGCTTCAGGCAGTGGCCAGTGACACAGGACCTTCTTTGAATGCAGTCTCTGTTCTCTACCTCTGTCCTCCCATGATGGTACTCTGTGCCTCAGTCATCCCATGGCCTTTTCCTCTTCTTATCAGGACACCAGCCCATCCTAATAATTTCATCTTACCTTGATTTCATCCACCAAGACCCTGTTTCCAAATAATCTCACCTTCACAGGTACCGAGGGAGGGAGGATTCCAAAATATCTTTAAGGGACATAGTTCAACCCATACCACTCGCCATCCCAGAAGCAGCAAATGCTGACATGACCCAGCCAAGAGACAGTGGGGACCTGCACTGTGAGAGCGTGTGCGGGAATGGAAATATTTGGAGGGTCAAGGGCCTAAGGAGGTAAAACCGACAAGAGTTGCTTATTAGTGGCTGGGTTGGGAGAACGAAGAATCTGGGATACACAGCTCTTTGGTGGGTGGTGGAACCTATCATTGGCACAGGGAACTGGAAAGAGAAACAGTTTGGTGTGAGAGGCTATGATCAGGTATAGACATGGTGGGCTGGGGTTGTCAGGAGACACTGAGCAGGGCCAACTTAGAGTTGGTGGCTCTAAGTCTCAGGAGTGAGCCAGGCTTGTGCCCCAGCCTTGAGAGATGAGATGGTCCCCACACGGACACAGTGAGCTGTGGAAATGGTGAGAAACAGATGGATCAGGGAGACTGGGAAGGAGGAGAGGGGGAGGGAGACCTGGGCTTCTCCTCACTGAGTCTGGGTGATCAGTGGTCCCAGGTCACCCTTGCCCTGAGGGAACTCTGGGATGGGGAGCTGTTAGTGCTAAAACCAGGAAAGTTCCAGCTAACTGGAATGAGCAACCACCCTGGGGGGGCAGAGGAAGGGGGCCACCAAGAGCCAGAGAAGCAGGAGGGAAGCCAGGAGAAGTATGGGTCACAGGCCCTGGAGACCATGCAGGTCATCAGTTTGGACAGTTGGCATCCTGACACCTGAGAAAGGCCTGGGGACAGAGCAACAAAGAGCCACAGGTTTGTGGGTGATGCTTCCAGGAGGGCAGGAAGGTGCGGTGGGAGGAACAAGATGTTTCCATGGGCCAGAAGAGGAGTGAGGCACAGTGGCCCCGGGGCCAGAGGCCTGCTGGCTCTTTAGTGCCATGTGCTGTTGTGGAGTGCTTAGCCCAGAACACCTGTGGAGAGGCCGGGAGCTTGCCCTTCCTGCATGGATGGGCGGCAGAGGGTGACCAGAGCCGCTTCCCTAAGGGGAGCTTCCTGGATAAAATTCCTAGCTTCCAGTAAAAATTCACCCTGCCTAGGGGACCAGCTTCCTAGGGACCCTGTCAACCAAGCCTCATCCCTCTTATGGAGATGGTGGGCTTTGGAAAGTTCTGGCCTCCTCCTCAGGACAGGCGTCCTGACATTCTGTCCTCTAGACCTGACATGCAATCCTCAGAAGTAGATAGGGGTCTGACTCCTCCCAAAGCAGAGCACAGTTTTATAGCTTTGCAGCACACGAGTCACTGCGAACTTACCAGAGTTTAACAGGGAGAGGGTGTTGTCCAGGAAGGATCAACCTCCTCCCTGAAGTTTCCCTCCCACACAGACAGACACACCCCCAAAGTCCAATTGCTTCCCCCTACCTGCACCCCAGTTATAAAACAGAGCAGGCCTGCATTGAGCTGGTAGGTGCTCCCCCTCGCTCCTCTCTGCCTTCCTAGGAGAACTGTGATGCAGAGGCTTGGGAAGGCCCTTCTACTTGTCCCCCTCACCCTCCACTGCACAGCCCAAAAGCAGAAAGTGAGCAGAGAACAGAGGCCAGTCACCCAAGCTAAGAGGACCAGAGGGAAAATGCAGACTCCGTCTTTCCTCCAGGACCAAGATCCTCCTCAGTGTCTCCTTGCTGGAGTCCATCAAAACCCAAGACACCTTTGTGGTCGTTATGACCAGCATTTAAAGACCTGGTGCAGGATGTCCTCTGCAGTCCTCCACTCAGCCCTGATGGCCACCTCATTCTTGTCCTCACTTTATGGATGGGGAGCAGGCCCGCCAAGTTCAGACTCTCACCCAAGATCATCTATTGGTGATAATTAAAGCTAGTTGGCACCTAGGTATTCTAATACCAGGTCAGTAATCAGAATGACTACTTAAAATTCACCCCACAACCTTTTTAAAGCACCCATTAACTGTCTAGCAGAGTCCTTGACAATCAGGGCACATCAGTGAGCAAGGTTCCCAACTGTTCTGGACCTCAGCCCTGTGGGCGTCCTCCCTGCTACTCTTCTGCATCATTCTAGTTCATCCTCCAGTACCCTTTGAGGCTGTGCACAGCTCTGTTAGAGCCCCATTTACAGAGTGTGAAGCAAGCTTCTCACAGCCCAAGGGATTCACCCAGCTCTCTGTGATCCTAAGCCACCATAGGGGATTACCACGCTCTGTGATCTCTAACTCCAAGTTAGATCCCCACAGTGTGGGCATATGTGGATTTACAAGACAACAGAGCATGCTGGAAAGGCTCAGGCTCCAGGGTGGGATCAAGGTCAGGCCTCATTATTTATTTGCCATGGGATATTACATGTGATGGACTGAAGAGTGTCTGTCTTGGATTTGTGTGCAACAGCCCTAACCTCCAGTGTGACTGAATGTGGAGGTAGGGTCCTTAGGAGGTAAGCAACTTTAAGTGAGGTCTAATCCAATAGAGATGGCAGCCTTATAAGAGTCTCTCCGCTGGACATAGTGGCACATGCCTGTAATCCCAAATACTCAGGAGACATAGGTAGGAGAATTGCAGTCCAGACCAGCCCCAATCAAAAAGCCGAGATAACCTATCTGAAAAATAACTAAGGCAGGAAGGGGCTGGTGGAATGACTCATGTGATAGAGCTCCTGCCTAGCAAGCATGGAGGCCTGATTTTAAACTCCAGTTCTGCCAAAATAAATGAATAAATAAGCGAGAGGTCTCCACACACAAGCACTGAGCAGGGCCATGTGAGGACACAGCAAGAAGGCTGCCATCAAGAGAGCCCCACCAGGAGCTGAGTCAGCCAGGACCTTGCCCTTGGACTTACAGCCTCCAGAACTGGGACATAAATTTCTGTTGTTAAGCCATCCAGTAGTTATGACAGCCTTAGCAGACTCAGACATTAGGCAAACTTCCTGATGTGTCTGGGCCTCACTTTTTTCATTTGTTAAATAAGAAAGACAATACTTGTAGTGCTTCAAGTTCACTTTTTGGGGGAACATTTAGCACAGTTGTGGCAGACACTTGGCACTTAGATGTTGTGCAAAACCGTTATGGTCAGACCAATGGGCATTTGTCATCTCTTAAGCAGCTTTCTCTGTCCCTAGCACAGGCTTTAAGACTTAGGGCAGCAGGACCCATGAAAAGAACACATAGAAGCATAAGCAATGTGCATGTGAGCTGGGCGCAGCTGGGCTCGCACCTGTAATCCCAACTACTCAGGAGGCAGGGATCTGGCGGAAGGCAGTTCAAGACCAGCCTAGGCAAAAAAATCATGATACCCCATCTCAACCAATAAAAAGCTGGGTATGGTACCATTTGCCTGTCACCCCAACTATGCAGGAAACAAAAA